TTTTTTTTTTTTTTTTTTTTTTTTTTTTTTTCCTGACGGGGACTCAAGGTATGTCCCATGAAAAAGCCAAATTTTGCATGAGGTGGAAAAGTTGTGTTAAATTCAAATCTAAATAGCAGGCCAACATAATTGGCAAATAGAAATTATTTAAAAGAATGTTCCTTCAGGAAAGGACTGAAGTCTTCATCTCTATCTATTCATACCTAGCTCAGCTAGTTCCTGGCACAGAGTCAGATTTCAATAAATGCTGATGAATGTTGTTTTAAATAAACAGAATAGTTTTGGTGACTACATCTATTGAAGCAAATATTCCTAACTGAACTAAATTATTTATATTAAACTCAGCCTTCTTTCTTCCTTCGAAGTCCTTTTCTTTGTTGCTTATTTATACAGAGTGCAATTAAGGGTTGGCGACTGACTGTTGCCGATGATGGAATATTGGTTGAATGCCCAGAGCAGGAGGAAAGATTCACACCCTGTCTTATTCTTATCATACTATCTTTGGATGAGGGAGTCAAGAGTTGGTTTGAAGCTTTTGTATTTAGCCTGTCACTATGTTTATTATTTGTCTCAAGTCTATTATGTCTGATAAAAGGAGGCAGAATCCTGAAGAGAGCTCTCTGAAGCATGCTCTTGTCCCATTCATCTTCATGTCCCCTGTTAACACCCCTAGAGCATGCTTCCATCTAGTTAAAGAGGGAAGGAAATGACTACCCTTTATTGAAGATCTTGGGCTCTATAGGCATATAAAACATTTGACCCTACTTAATACAATAGTTTTTTGACACAAATTGTTCTTAATTTGGAGTTGAAAAAACTGAAGAATGCCAGTCATAAAGGAAATGAGCATACTCACATAGTCATGAGCGTCAACCACTGTGTATACAATGTCTGGCACAGTGACCAATACCTATTACCTGTTCAGTAAGTAAATGATCTAAGATCTGCTTTGCTTTCAAAGTTCTCCTTGCTCTTTTTGGTACTGAGGGCTGCATCCCCAATAAGTGTGTTTAATTTACAGCAACATCAATAGTTTGAAATTCTTTGGTGAAAGCACAATGATTTTTATATCTGGATATATATATATGTCTAATTATATTGATCTAATAACATAGTTAGCTTAATTTCTTGGATATATTCTGAGAAGATAAGTGGTTACTTGAATCAAAAGTTTGAAGGTCTCAGGAAATTCTGAATAAAGACTTCTTTAAGTTGTAAAGAATCCATATTTTATAGGAATGCTTAGGAATGGAGGAATCTTCTAAGAAAACCTCGGAGGATCTGTGAGATCGTAGGAAGAGAGCCAAAGCAGGATTTATTATGGAGGACATGAGCTGTGGAAAGAATAGGGAGAAGTTAGGAACCGGAAGCCAGGGCCTCTCATTCATAAAGGAATATGGAAAACCAGCAGGGGAAGAGGGAAACACAGGGACAGCAACCAGGTGAATATATAGTAAGTTTTTCCAAAAGTGATTAAGAAGTGGTACAATGGATGAAAGAAGGCTAGTGGGGCTGGCAAGATGGCTCACCTCATAAAGGCACTTACTACCAGGGAAGCAGCTCCACAGTTGTCCTCTGGCATCCACACATGCCCCAGACATGTGCCATGGCACATGTGCATTCCCTCCTTATGACAGGCTTCCTCAGTCCTCTTCCTCCTCTGAAACCGAGAGTCTTTTCTCTATTGCTTTCTGCTGCCCATACCCATCTCTCATGCCTTAAAGGTTATTTACATACACACTTTTGTCTATACTGTTCAATGTTGTGTATATGAACTACAGTGAATGTCTTCTATGTTCTCTCTTATCCTGCATGGTCTTTTTAGTGAAAAAAATTTTAATAAACAAACGTAGTTGCAATTAGTAATAGAACATAAAGGTTTAAGATTCAGAACATACATCTTGAGATTCCCAAGCCTACATAACAGTCTCTTTTGAAACCTTAAACACTGTCTAAGCAGATGTGTGAAGAGAGGAAAAGTGATATGTTCTCTAACAACAGCACCTCAGATGACCCAAGATACAACCATGGACTTTCTTCTCCCGTCGAAGCTGTTTGTATTGTCATTTGACTGTGTCATGGCTGCCTTCCTCAGCACTGTGCAGATGTGAGGACCATCCCCAGAGTGCTGAGCTAGAGAAACGGCTGCTTTTTACACACGTGTTCAATGGCAAATGCTAGAGATTGTTAATGCTGTTACCAGTATTATGGTTTCCTTCGTAAGCAAAGTTATCACATTCAGAACAGACCCATTTAGAAAACATTCTAGGTCCTTTCCATGAAACTTGGTTGTTGTTCTCAGGTAGCTGTCAAAGCCCCCTTTTTGAATTAACTGGGGATAATTAAAATTAATGTATTTACAGAGACTATTTGTAGTTTAATAACATGGTCACAAAAGGAAAGACTATTTCATCAGGAAAGACTAGGCTGAGGTGAGGGAAACATTTTTAAATACCTATTCTGCATGACATTTAAAAACATTACAGTGTCAGGCATCTATTATGTCCAAAAATGATGGCTACCTTTGGATATATCATTAAAAAACATACCTTCCATGTAAGGGTTTATAGTATTACAGTGCTGAGATTTCTTTTTTTTTTTTTTTTCAGTTTACAAATCACTTTTTAGATTTTGCCTTTTCTCTGTAGCAAATGTGCAGGGCATGGTATTTGTCTCCGTTCAAGAAAATGTACAAATTTCACAGAACCATATTTAGCCTTTCCTCTCTTGCCTAATTGACTCATAGATAGGAAGCTGAAGTTGAAAGAAAAAAATCCAATTTTTATAATTAATATTTTCCTTGCAATAACTTGGCCTTCCAATCCCTTTCATTTTATACTCTTAAAATTTTATTTTCATTTTATATGTATGAGTTTTTTGCCTGCATATATGCAAATGTACCTGTGTTGTGCAATGCCTGTGGAGGTCAGAAGAGAGTGTTGGAGGCCCTAGAACTGGAGTTATGGATGGTTGGTAGTCACCACGTTGGTGCTGGGAACTGAACCCAGGTCCTCTGCAAGAGCAACCAGTTCTCTTAATCGCTGCTGAGCCATCTCTCCAGTCCCTCATTTATTCTCTTAACTTTAGTAGCCTGACAGTGGGTTTTTTTTTTTTCTTTCTTTATGTGTTTAAAATTTTGTATTATCACAAATTTTATCTACTAAAGTCTCTAGGACAGATGTGCATAGAAAACTGATTGCCGATTCCCAAATATGTTTCACCTTTCCTTTGACTCCTTCATTCTTTGCTTCTAGTTAGTTATGAAAGAAGACACAAGATGAGTCCTCATGAATTGCTCTTGAGAGCACAAAACATGGGCGGGATATGGGTCACAATAGTCCAATGGAATGATAACACCTTAACTTAATGTTAGATGTGTATGAGTTTTCAGACAGTGGGCCCACAGTGAGCAAACTACTGAGTTCACAGATCTCACAAGCACACATTGCTTGGAGCAAACAGATTTCATTTATTTTGTACCAAGCCAAGCAGAAAATAACTCTAAAGCCGAGTTACTTCCTCTTTTGAGGAACCAAAAAGGCAGTAAATATAGTTGAAAAGAGAAAGACAAATTGCGGTCAAGCTTGCAATAGGTCCAGTGAAGGCATAGTCTCTCTGGGGTATGATTTGTGGTTCCTCAGGAAGGATACTTGGCCTAGAAAGGAGCCACTGGATGAATTCCTCTAACTTGGTAGGCACTGAGGAAAAATCTCCACTTTCCTCCATGAACAAAAGTTAGCTTGATCCATGTACTGAAGTCAGGGTAAATATAAATATTTGACTTCACCTTTTCAAAATTTGCTGGTACATTTGGGGAGTTCTTTTTCCTCAGGGTTTTAATTTTGGGAGGGATTGTTTCTTCCTCATGATGACCAGTGGGCTGTGGGTAATGGGGCACTTTCTCTGGTTTGGCTGAAGAGAGTTCAGTATCTGTAGGGACTGCTGTGTTCTTCAGAGTTTCTGGCCATAAGAGTTTATGAAGCAGCTCCATGAGTTCTTTACCCTTTTGTCCCTCCAGCACCTCTAGACAGTGTATGCTTTAGTTCTGGTTCTCCAGCTCTGTTATCTTCTTTAAAGCATCAATGTCTTCTTTCATGGAGAGCATGTCTTTGGCAGTTGTGATTTGTCTGTCTTCATAAACTTTTATTCTTGTCTCTAGGACCTCCATCTGCTTCTGATAGTGGGCGATCTTTTCCTAGATATTTGATATTGCACTGACAATGTCAGTCATTTGACTGAGGAGTTCAGTCTGGCCCATTTTAATGTCTTGGAACGTTGTGGTAAGATTCATTTCTTCGTTCAAACTGAGATGATCATGGTCACGGTCATAGGAAACCACTTTTGGATATGTAGCTGAGCGTGTGTGCTGGATCGTATATTTCTGATAAACATTTTTAAGAGATTGTCTGACCTTGTGGAGATTTGAAGTCCACGTATGTGCAGCAGCGGCTATGGCTCTTTTGGTGTGAAGTCTGTATGTTTTCATTGAGAAACAAGACAAAAAGTGTTAGGAAGCATGATAGGAATCACAGGATGAAGCAATTCTAGCATGAAATGGTCTTTTATTATTTGCTGGATTTCTTTCCTGGCAACAGCATCAAATGCCCCATGGAGAACATCAAAGGCAGCAACAGGCAGAGTTAGGTAGAGTGCCTCTTCCAGGCCAGCCTAACTGGAGAGCTCTGTGAAATTATGGTTCCCTGCATCACATCCTTCTGTAGTGTCATCTGACACTGATGTCACAATGGCTGCTGCCTTGGAACACAAGCACAGCACCACAGTTCTCAGTGTCACAGGATTGATTTTTTTTTTTACTCATAAAAATTACTGAGGACCACAGAGATTTTGTTTACAGGAGTTACGTTTATGGGTATTCCATATTAGAAATTCCAACTAAGAAAATCTCAAAATATTTATTTTTTAAATAAAAACTCATTACATGTGACATGAATTACATATATTTGGTTGTTTTATTGGGATTAGGTCTTGCTATGTAGCCCTGGCTGGCCTGGGACTCACTATTTGGACCAGACTGGCCTGGAACTGAGAGGTCTGCCTGCTTCTGGACCCAAGTTCTGGGATTAAAGGCTTCTGTTACCATGCTTGACAAATTATATTTTTTTAAAAAATAGTAAACAATTCTGTGTTTTTTTTTTGAGACAGTCTCATGTGTCCTAGGCTTGTTTAAAACTATATAGTTGAGGATGAATTGAAGTCCCGATCTTCCTGCCTCTACCTTCCAAGTGCTGAACTGGTAGCACTGGTGGTACCCAGTTTATGGGGTACTGGGAGTACAATCCAAGGCTTTGTACATGTTAGGCAAGCATTCTACCAACTGAGCTGCATCCCCAACCCTAGTTCTAAAATAGAAAAGTGATACATTGCTTTACACATCTATAAATGCTTAAAATGCCTGTATTAATAGAAGGCACCTACATTCTTATATGTTTGTCCATTTGCGATATGTTATTTTGGTGGTTATATAGGAAGAAAATGTGGTTTTTCAGAGATCTGTTGTTAAAAAGAAAATAGGATTTTTAAGTGTCTTTCTAAATGATTGAGGGCATTATTCCTGCCTGTCACATCAAAACTTGGCAAAAGAGAACCTTTTAAAGTTAACTAACATATGTAATCTGGCAGATCAACAAAGTTTCATACTCTGTCAGCTTAAAATTAATTGGCTTATCTTTGATTTTTAATGGATTTATAACAAACATTGATTATTAGAACTGAATTATACAGATCTTCTAAATATTGATTCATTCAAAATATCGTGAGACTAGGAAGATGACCTGGTAGATAAGAACCCTTGCTGGGCTAAGAAGCATGAGAACCTGACATCAAACCCGCAGTATCCATGTGAAAAAAAGCTGCAAAGAAAATAAAATATCTCAGAATAAACCTCACCAAAGATGTTAAAGAGCGCTACAATGAAATCATTAAAGAAAGAGATTGAGGAAGACATCAGAAGATGGAAGACCTCCCATGCTCATGGATTGGAAAAATTAATTGTGAAAATAACCATCCTACCAAAAGTCATTTATAGATTCAATGCAATGCCAATCAAAATCCCCATGACATTTTTCACAGAACTGGAAAAAATTGTCTTAAGATTCATATGGAAGCACAAAAGACCTCAGATAGCCAAAACAACCCTGAACACTAAGAGCAATGCTGGGGGATTACTATACCATATTTTAAGCTGTATTACAGAGCTATAGTCCTAAAAAAACATGGTACTGGTACAAAAATAGACCCATAGATCAAGAAAACAAAATTGAAGACCCAAATATGAGTAAATGCAATTTCAGCCACCTGGTATTTGACAAAGGGGCCAAGAATATTCACTGGAGCCAAGCCAGCATGTTCAGCAAATGGTCCTGGCAAAACTGGATCTCCACTTGTAGAAGAATGAAACTAAACCCCTATCTTTCACCCTGCACAAAAGTCAATTCCAAATGGATCAAAGACCTCAATGTAAAGCCTGAAACTCAAACTGTTAGAAGAAAACATTGGAAAAAACCTAAAAGATATATGTATAGAAAAGGATTTTCTAAACCGGACATCAATTGCTCAGGAAACAAGGGCAAGAATTAACAAATGGGGCCAAATTAAACTACAAAGCTTCTGTACATCAAAGGAGGCAACCAAGGAAGCTATCAGAAAACCCACAGAATGGGAGAAAATCTTTACCAGCGACACATCCGACAGAGGTTTAATATCCAGAATATATAATGAAGTAAAAAAAACAGAGAATCAAGACAAGAATCAACCCAATTAAAAGATGGGCTAAGGAGCTGAACAGAGAGTTCTCAAAAGAAGAAGATGGCTATGAAACATCTTAAAAGATGTTCAACATCACTAATAATTAGGGAAATGCAAATTAAAACCACTTTAAGATTTCATCTTACCCCAATCATACTGGCTAAGATCAAGAGAACAAATGATACCAAATGTTGGAGAGGATGTGGGGAAAGGGGAACACTCATCCACTGCTGGTGGGGCTGCAAACTTGTTCAAACCCTATGGAAAACAGTGTGGAGAACTCTTAAAAAACTGCAAAAGAACCTGACATTTGACCCAGTTATACCACTCTTTGGCATATACCCAAAGAACTCATCCTATTGCAGAGACACTTGTACATCCATGTTTGTTGCTACCCTTTTCACAATAGCTAAGAGATGGAAGCAACCTATGTGTCCT